CATAGGAGGGGATGCATCGACCGGGAATCGGTGATACATCGCCGATAGAGCGGCGATAGGCCCCTGGCAGTGAATCCGCACCTTCCTGGGCAGGCTGGGGCTCTCGGGCCTCTATCGGCGATCAATGGGCGATTTCATGTGGATGCCCCCCCCCCCCTATGCCTATCCCCCCCCATCGTTGCCCCCGAGTTCCTCTCACGACGCGAGGGGGTAAGACGAAGTCGTGGCCTTCTAAGGGCAGCACGAAGGCGGCCGTGTGCATCTCCGCGGAGTAGTAGCGCAGCGGCATGTCCGCAGGCGGGGCGCGCAGGGGGCTCCTGCAGGACGCGGGCTCTGGGCCGCCGGCAGCTGCCTCGCGCGCCCGGCAGGGCCACGGGGACCAAATCGGACTGGGCCAGACCGAGACACACTGGGCGTCTCGGGAAAGTCGAGGCTGAGGTTTTTCCTCATTGTCGGCTGGGGCCCTCACCAGGCCTCGGGACGGTCAGACATCTCCTTCCCCAAACAGCTACGGGGGATGCATGGAAAGCGGGCCCCGGGGGAAGTGATCGAGAAGTCGGGGGCCCGTGCTCCGAGAATGCCGGGGCGCCGGAGGACGTCGGGGGACCAGTGATCTCGGAGGCCCGGCAGTGCTGGACGATGCACATGGTGCGGCGGCCGTTCCAAGGCACTCCGGGTTGGGCGTGGCTTAATGGGGGGGTCACAAATGGGGGGGTCAGAAAAGGTCCCCTTTCGTGCCCCTTTCGGGCCCCTCCAGAGCCCCAGGGGGCTCGTTTAGGTACCGTTTGGGTACCTTTTCGGGCCACCCTCGCCACCCCCCCATTTATGACCCCCCCATTACGAAACGCCCAACCGGGACGCTTTGAGAGCGTTCCGGGACGCTCTGGATCGAGGCACCCCGGTCCAAGCCCAGCCCGAAGGAGGGAGCGGGAGGGAGTGGATGCTGTTGGATTTTGCGTGGAAGGATCTCTGCCCCGGACTGTCCTGATCAGAGCTGAGGGGCAACGAAAAGGGGGTACCAGCTGAGGGGGGTAAACATCGACCTGGAATCGGCGATAGGCTCTCGATAGCGAGACCGCACGTTCCTGGGCTTGGTGGGCTATCAGATTCCTGTCGGCAATGAATGGAAGATTGGGGGTCGGTGCGTCCCTTCCTGATCGTATATCCCCCTAACGTTGCCCCTTGATGGAGGAGGAAGGGGATGGATCCTGTGGGTTTCCACAAACCCAGACCCCCGACGTCATGATTACGATGCTTTCATGAGAACTTCCGGAGGTCTCGACCCACTCCCTGTGCCCGGGTTTTCATCCTGGTTGGTTTGTTGGCAGTCCAAGGGTCCGGTGAAGGCTTTCAGGGCCCCAAAACAAACATAACTAAGCAACGAAACAGTACATCCACGTCCGTCGTGATTTTGTCCGCGATGCGGGAAGAAAGTCCTCTGTCCTGCACTGCACTGATCAGAGCGGGCCTCGGATCTAGACGGGCCAGTCAGAAGCAGAACTCAAGATCGGACTCTCTCCCTCTCGCGCGCCTTCAGCCTCCGAACCAAGGTCCCTGCCCAACCCTGGAGTCCCACGAGAGGCCAGAGGAGGATGGGGAGGGGGGGACGTTTCCCAGACCAGGGAGGATGAGAATAAAGAGGATGAGGGCGGGCCATGGATTCCCGAACCCCCTGGCATCATGAACACAATCACATCATATGGTTTTGACTGTTTTCCTCCTCTGCGGGCCGTCGCCCGGCCCTAGTACGATCAAGAACAGATTCGAGATGACAATCTGGCCCAAGGGGAATGGTCGAGACCTCTGGGGTATGACGCTGTGAAAAAATCACGACACCGGGGCTGTGCATCAGATGAGGGTAGACGAGCCACCCTCATGTTACGCATCCCGGCGAGCCAACCCCCTCAGTAAACGTAAACGAGGAAGGAGTCGGACAGGGCCATTTAGTAATCGCTCAAGGATGCTTAGCAAACTCCTGTTACGAGGGTCGGGCTGGTGCTTCCTCCCTTGAGTCAGGAGGCAATTGCCGGCAGGTCTTCTTGGTAACAGATAGCCCTATAACGGAGCACGTAAGGCCAGTGTGGGCCAGGCCAAACTTTGAGCTGAGCTCATCCGCAGGCGGGCCCAAGTGGAACGAGCCACATTAAGCCAGACTGGGTTCGGCTAGAACGGAATGGCAACAAGGAAACACCAAGGTCGGATACACGGGGCCCGGTGCCCATACACTTCAGCCGGTTGGCCCCCCCCTCCCCTTCCTACTCCTCCTCCTCAACCTCCTCCAACTGTGGCGCTGCTTAGTCGTGCCTGCGACCTTTGGGCTAGGTCGAACCATCGCTGCGGACTTCTCCTTCTCATCAGTTGGGGAGTCGGCAGTTTTCGTCATCTGGACGCCTAGATAAATGAAGATCCCTCGCAGGATGTAAACTTTATACTTCTGCCCCGACCAGCAGGGACGCATACTGTACACACATTTATACATATACCTCTATATGCGTATCTGTATACATTCATACAGATCTATATACACATACATACATACATGCACGCACTCGCTGCCATTCATTTCCCACGGGTTGAACTCTAAGGAGGAGGCGGAGAAGGAGAAGGAAGAGGAGGAAGACCGGGAGGAGGGGCTGGGGGTGAGGGGGGGCGAACGACGAGACGGGACGGGGCCGCCTTGCGGGCCAAGAAGGCGCCGATCTGGCCCGACGGGTAGGTAGGCATCTGGATGCTGGCGTACTCAGCCGAGGCGAAGGGCGCTCCGTGAGTGCTGACCTGGGACGCACAAGGACACACTAGTCACCAGTACCATGTGTCCTCCTCGGAGGCGTGCGTCCGACCCCCACATATAATACAACCATCGTGTACGTGTATCGTCTACCGAGCGGTACCGCCAGAAAGCGCCCGCCACAGCGTGTACTAGAAGGTTTCTCCGCGCGGGCGTCGCTCCTGTGAGGGCGATTCACACATCGTATCAAGATGTTTGGGTGACGCCGACGACCATCTCTGAGATCAGGTCGGCGTGGACCCAGAGGCACTCGCCCTGCCGGCGGAAGAAGCAACGGCATGAGCAGAAACTGTAGGCCCTCGCGGATTTCCCCGGTTGGCACTGGTGCGAGGCCACTCTCTATCACTACACCACCACCGCCAGGACAAAAAAATGGTCGCAGCAAGCACCGGAGTTAGGGCCATGCCAGACGACGCCACGCCTCCGCGGCACACAGCTGCGACGCACGGGCCATGCGTCGCGCTGCGCTCCTGTTCGCCGCGTGCGGCATGGGAGCCCGTGCGGCACGGGCGCCATGGGGAGGAGAGTTCCCAACACAGAGACCGCCTAGCTTGGTGACTGTAAGTACGCGTCGTTCATATCTAATCGTGCTCATTTCAAATTGTGCTCGTTTCAAATTGTTCCTGGCCCCCTAGTGGCCAGGAAGAGGCCCAGGATAGAACAATTAGAAACGAAAGGACCTTGGCCCCCCACAAAATCAAAGAACTTGCAAAGAATTCGAAATGAACAACGCGTAAAGATTGTGCAACCGAACTGAGATACACCACCACCGCGTTTGTTCTGAGGAGCTCCGGTCTGGCCCCAGTTCGCGAGGCGGCGGGGGCCCTTTCGCCGCTGGCGGCGGGGCTGCGACAGCGGGGCCCCCCGCAAGAGCCAACCAAACTGCGCCAAGAGGGATAGCGCGTTGTTGTTCCCCTATCTTGGTGGTGGTGGTGGTCATTTGCCGTGCTCAGAGTGCACGGTTTCCTCCGGGGCCGTAGGCGACCCGAGGAGGAGGAGGAGGAGGAGGAGGAGGAGGAGGAGGAGGAGGAAGAGGAGGAGCGAGTAGGAGGAGGAGGAGGAGGAAGAGGAGGGGTCGCTTGAGCCCTTCGGAGAAACCCTCCAGGTGGTGGTGGTGGTCATTTAACGTCCTCAGAGCTGACCCCCCCCCCTCCCAGCGGCGCCTCCCGCGCTTGCCGTGGCGCGCTTCGCGAGCCAGGGGAGGGGACAACAGCGCCGACCCAGGAAATGCGCGCGGACCGATGGCAAAACGAAGGTCCACGCTGGCAAGTGTGGTCTGCGTACCTGCGAACACAGCACGCCACCAGGCCTGAGGATGCGGTGGGCGTTGGCGTAGAACTCGGGGGAGAACAGCTTCTCAGCTGGCCCCACCGGGTCGGAGGAGTCGATGATGATGACATCGTAGGTGGCGTCTGCAGCCTTCTCGCAAAACCCCACGCCGTCCGCGACCTGCAAATCCACCTTGCGGGCTCCAGAAACCCTGTATCCCCCAAATATGTCACCTCTCTTTTTTTGGGGGGGGGGCTTGCTCGTACCTCCGCCGGCTTCCGCCGGCCTTCTCCCGGCGAAGCCACCGAGGAAGGGGTACCCGCTTCCCGTTGCTCGAAGGCGCGGCCCTTCCTTGAACGCCCCACCTTGGGATGACCGAAGGCGGTAGAGACGGACGGGAAGAACTCCTTCGCCGCCTCGATGACGCCAGCGTCGATCTCGCGCATCGTGACCTTCTCGACGCAGTCGTGCTTCACGGCCTCCCGCAGCACGCCGCCGTCCCCTCCGCCGATGATGAGCACCTGCTTGGGGCACTTGTGCGAGAAGAGCGGCAGGTGCGCCATCATCTCCTGGTAGGACATCTCGTCCCGCTCCGTGAGCTGGATGACACCGTCGAGCACCAGCACCTCGGCCCGGCTGGCCTCTGCCTCCACCGCTCCTCTGGCCCACCGTGGACACCCTGGATCCTAAAAATGCCCACGTATCGCTCGAACTTGCTCCGCCTTCCACCGACCCCGCCCCCCGGGCTTCCGAAATCGGATCCGCTGCCGTTTTACTTCTGCCCCCGTCTGCTGGAGAAAACGTCTCCACTTCCCGCTCCTCGAAGACGAGACCCTTCCGCCAGGTCGGGCATGTCCCCCTGCAGGGGGATTTTGGACGAAAGATTGAAGAATACCCCCCCAAAATATGCAAAAGTTGCAAAAATTGTTCCCAGACTATTTCTCCACTGTTTTTGAATACCCTCCTGTGGAGCGACAGGCCCGACTTCACCCCTCCGCCGCCTTCCGCCGAGGGCCAGACGCGCCGAGGGCCAGGCCCTCGAGCAGCGATGGAGAGGCGAGCAGGACGAGGGCGCGGCCGCCTAACGGCCGCCTCCACACGTCAGACTGACAGGCCTGCTTTCCACCACCACCACCAGAAGATGGAGGGGGAGGAGGAGGAGGAGGAGGAGGAGGAGGAGGAGGAGGAGGAGGAGGAGGAGGTGGTGGAGGAGGAGGAGGACAAGGACGAGGAGGAGGAGGAGGACCCCCTCCCCCTCCAACTTGTGGTGGTGGTGGTGGTGGTGGTGGAAAACAGGCCCATCACAGATGGCTCGGCGCGGAAGCCGATTCAGCACAGCGGAACGATACGAACTCACCCCGAAAGAGTATCGGCGCCACCGGGCGGGGTGGAGAAGAGGGGGAGGAGGAAGGATGAGGAAGGAAGGCAGGATCGGGTGGCATCGAATAGGGGAACCTGATCGGATCGACATGCGCGTCGGACCAGGCTGCATCGGAACTGAATCGAAATCGTATGGGATCCCGGCTTCGCCAGGATGCACCACAACGCCGTGCCTGCCGCATCGGCTCGTCGAAACACTGGAACCGAATCGCATCGGGGCGACTGGAGTCCGTACCAGACCAGATCGGTCGGGTCGGATGGGGCCCTGGGAGAGGCGGGGCGACGAGGGAAAGAGAGAGCAGGGCGCGGCGGGGACCTTGCCCCAGTCCGTGGACTCGAACACAAGGAGGTCCTTGGGAACCGAGGAGAGTTTCCATACACTGTCGGAGGTCCGCGCGGATGTCTTGGCTCGACGCTGGACACCCCCGCCCCGGCGCGCGGAGCGCGTTACGGACGGCGCAGGAAGCGCCGCCAGCACCGACCCAAGAACTCCGCGCGGATCGCGGAGCATTCATCGGCGGCGAGCCCACGGGGGAAATGAGAGGCGGCGGGCCTTCTCGGAAGGCTCGGAGGTCCCCAGACATTCTGGGAAGTTGTTTCAGCATTCCCCGAAGAGAAGACACAGAGAACCTCTGAGAAGACGCGAGGGCTCCTGAGAAGTCCCGCCGCCTTCTGAGAAGGCCTTCTCCTTCTCACTCGCCCCCCTCCCCCGCCGCCGAATTCAGTTCTGGTTCATGACGTTGTTTTCTCATTGCGAGTCCTGGAAGTCGGTCTTCTTGTGCAGGAGGACCTGCTTCACCTTCGGGGGCGGCCAAGAGGGGGGCGTCCAAGAGGGGGGGGGCGCAAATCATGGCCGGCGGCATGTGCGCGGCCCACGGGGGGGGGAGGGGCCAAGGACGCATTGAAACAAGAAGAGGCGCCGTGAAATCTGGGGAGATTTCATGGCCCCCGCCATGATATCCCCCCCCTAGTCATCACCCCCTTCTTGGCCGTCCCCGATAAAACACAGATCCTGTTTCGATCGGTCCCCAAGCGAGAACGCGGGGCGGGATCCCCGGGGAAGCACCGGGATCACCTGGGAATCACTAGCAATCCCCCGGCTGCCGCTGCATGCGGGGGCGGGATATCCAGGGAGCCCTGGGACAATTTGGGCCCACCCCTGTAGTCATCACCCCCCTCTTGGCCGCCCCCGACACCTGCAGGGAGTTCGCCTGGCCGGGCCACTGCGAGTTCTTCTCCATGAACCACCCGTCCTCGGGGGGGGACGTCTTTCGCGTGCCAGCGTGCCCCTCGGCTCCAGGGCGGGGGGGTAGGGCTTGCTCTCAGAGGACGACCTGTCGAGCCAACAGTGGCTGGCCTTCGAGGGGGGCCCTCGTCGCCATGGCTGGACGCAGCTTGGAAAACTTCAGGGGGGGGCTGGCTTGCAGAGGAAGAAGTGTTGAGACAACAGCAGCTGGCCTTCGAGGGGGGCCCTGGTCGCCATGTCTGGACGCAGCTTGAAGAACTTCTGCGTGTGGCCTGGGGAAGGGTCCTGGGACCAAGATGAAGCTGCCGTTGCCACAACTCGTCTTGCTCCGATGCTCGGCCAAGGGACGGATCTGGTGTCGGTCTCTGTGCAGAACCCGATGGCCATCGCGGTGTAGGAGGCATGGGATGTGGGCCACCCCAAGGGTAGCCAATCAAGAGTGCTGCACGGGCCCATTCGCGCCCACATTGTTGGGATGTCTCGGGCAATACGCTTGCTTGGCCCAGTCGACGAATCTCTCGTCAGAGCTTCATAGTCGCCACGATGTAGGAGGCACCGCTTTTGGGCCATCCAAGGCGTAATCGGCCAGCAGAGACCCGCAGAGACCAGTATAGACAGCCAAAGGGCAGAGGAGAGCAGCAGAGACCAACTGAATCCACCAGAGGCTGGCAGAAACCGGCAGAGTCCAGAAGTGGCCAGCAGAGAGTGACCAACATAAACCAACAGAGGTATGAGACCAGCGGAGAGCAGCGGAGTGCAGCAGAAACTGGCAAACAATAGTAAGCAAGACATCAGCAGAGCAGCAGAGTCCAGCAGAGATCAGCAGAGTCAAGCAGGTAGCAGCAGGCACCTGCAGAGAACAGCGAAGACCAGCAGAGAGCAGAGACCAGCACAGAACGGCAAGACCAGCAGTGACCAGAAGAGACCAGCACAGACCCTTCAAGGCTAACATTGACCTGAGCAGCAGATACCAGCAGAGTCAAGCAGATAAAAATAGATACCAACAGAGACCGGCAGAGACAACAATCATCGAGCACCACATATCTTTGCAGAGATTGACAGAGAGCAGGAAAGAGCAGCGCCTCAGACCGACAGGAAACAGCGAGGACCAGGAGAGAACAGCTGAGATCAGCAGAGTCCAGCAGAGACCAGCAGGGAACACCAGAGACAACCAGATACCCAAATCTTCGCCGTTAAGGACCGATGCCAAGTGCGGACAGTCGCCTATGCCGGTTGCTGCCACAAGAGTAGCCCTGTCCATTTTCCAATGCCATTGGCGACATACCCCCTGGCGGATCCAAGCAACTGGTCCAATGCAAATTGCGGGCGGTCTGCTTAGTGCTTCTATAGAACCAGCAGCTGGTGACCAAACCATCCCAATGCCTAAGGCGGAAAGTATTGCGCGTATCTAAGGCGCACTGCTACCGTTGGCGTATTCTCGCTCCCTGAGCGCACACACATCACATGTGCGAAGCCCCAAGATGCTCTTGTGTGTCGCTGTCACACATTTGCTTGTCGCAGACACGGCGATCGCGCGAGTCGGTCGAAGAAGTGGGCTGCTGCTAAGCTCAAAACAGTGCACCACTGTCACACACACATGTGCCGTGCTACACATTTTAATAACGCTCTCAATGAGACGCACACCCATCTGGCATTCATACCTTACCAACGTCCGCAACATCCACATACTTCCAGGCTGTCTCGAACATGGATATTGCTGCGCGCTTGGAAGTTTTCGAGCGCACCCTTTCGACGTTCAGTTTGACTCTTTCTGAGACTCGTTCTTGCCACGACAGGGCTCGCTCATGCTCGGACAAGCGAACAGTCATGTCCAATAGAAGGCTGTGCGCGTGTGTGAGTATACCCGCATCGAAAAAAAAACAATATGTTCGCGACGCCTGGAGGTGTGAAGCCTCTTCCCGCCTACGAGTCCTTGATCAACGTCGTTCCGTCTAGCTGGCCGGCCTCCATCCCTCCTCCCTCATCTCCATCATGTTCCTCCCCCTCTCCCCTCCTCCTCCTCCTCGTCGTCCTCCTCCTCCTCCTGCATCAATGTCGCCCCAAAACCTTTCTGGGAACGGGGTCTGAATGAAACTCCGAAGCACATCTTCACGTGGCGCTCCCCAAGAGGCCTCCAATGAGAGAAAACGGCTAACTGCCCGTACTCCTCCCACTCCTCCTCTGGAGTATACTGGAAGTCCCCTCCGCGGAAGCCGATCTCCCCTCCCCCTGAAGGCATCGCGACGAACATGGCTGTACAAACACGCACACACGCACACTCGAGAGAAGAGGAGCTATGTACACCGAAACCTTACGCGTAGACGTCAATACCTATCCTTCTCTTCCTCGATCCTCATCGATCCTCCTCCCGCCATAGATCGGGTCGGACGAACGGGAGGATGGCAAAGGGGAGTTTATCGAATCAGCTGCACGCGGCTGGTCTTGCTGGCGGCTGCCGGCATCGAAGAATGATCATGGCCGCGGGGCCAGAAACAGCTGCACGCGGGACAAAAACGAAACCATCCCTTTCCCAAATGCTCCCTTTACCTCCACCCCAGGCCTCTGACGTCTTGGATTGTGCATGGACGGGGACCCCGGACCTCTCAACAACATCCCAAGAACCGCTCTCCAATCCAGCGTGATCGAGATCTAGTCCCGCTTGCCCGAACACGGAAGCCATGAAACGCCCCTGGCTGTTTTTGTGTCCGATGCCCTGGACGTGTGGAACCGAGGTCCTTGATCAGCGTCGACCCGTCCAGCTGGGCTTCCGCCATCCCTGCGGGCAACTTCCCACGCGGGTCGGGCCCCCCTCTCCCAAACAAAAACACGCGACGCGCCCGCCCCGCTGCCCTAACGGCAGCGACCAACTGGGACTCCACCCCGTGGTCTGCGCCCGCGCCTTGAGCCGAGAGGGGCACCCGGATCTCGGGGAGGAGCGACAGACGCGCGCCTTGGAGAAAAAGAGAAGAACGAGGAGGAGGAGGAGGAGGAGGAGAAGGAGGAGGAGGAGGAGGAGGAGGAGGAGGAGGGAGCAGGAGCAGGAGGAGGCGGAGGGAGGAGGAGAGGGAGGAGGCGGAGGGAGGAGGATGAGGAGGAGGAGGCCGAGGAGGAGGAGGAGGAGGAGGAGGGGAGGAGGAGGAGAGGGGGAGGAGGAGAAGAAGGAGGAGGAGGAGGGGGAGGGGGGGAGGAGGAGGAGGAGGAGGAGGAGGAGGAGGCGGAGGAGGAGGACTAGGAAGATGACTAGGAGGAGGGAGGAGGGCGAGGAGGAGAAGAGATGAGGAGGATGAGCAGGAAGAGTAGTAGGAGGAGGGAGGTAGAGGAGAGAGGAGGAGGAGGAGGAGGAGGAGAGGAGGAGGAGGAGGAGGAGCAGGAGGGAGGAGGGAGGAGGAGGAGCGAGGAGGAGGAGGAGGAGGAGGAGGAAGAGGAGGAGGAGGTAGAGAGCAGAAGGAGGATGGGGAGAAGCAGGAGGAGGAGGATGTTCCAGTTCGTCTCCGGAAATGCCTGGTATGCTCTTCGTGCTGGATGAAAAAGGAAAAGGATAACTTGAGGACGAGGAGGAGCGCCACATGAAGATGTGTTTCGGAGTTTCATTCAGACCCCATTCCCAGAAAGGTTTTGGGGCGACATTGATGTAGGAGGAGGAGGAGGACGAGGAGGACGAGGAGGACGAGGAGGAGGAGGAGGAGGTGGAGAAGGACTGGGAGGAGGGAGGAGGGACGAGGAGGAGAAGGGGAGTGATAATAGCCCTCGGAGGAGGGTGAACGGCGACGGCGACTGCGAGGGGGGGGCGAGGAAGACAATCACGTGATCAGCCTCTAGGGAACGGGCCCTGGAAGAGGAAGAAAGAAGAACGTTTTTCGCCGACCTCGGGCCCCGCGGGGCCCTCCACGGGCCCTGGGGACCGTCAACAGAACGACTCGGGATGGACAAGTGGTCGCGGTCCGAGGCGAAGCTCTAGTCTGGGGCCCGCTTCCCCCGGGACCCCTTTCCTGCACAGCGAGGTCGGCACTTCGCGGCACACAGGAGCGGCTCGACGCACGAGTGGCCTTCCTGCGCGGCTTGCCGATCCTCGCGTGCGGTGCGGCAGTGGCAGCTTTTTGCTTGGGTTTGGCCAAGCTTGGCCCTCCCGACCACCCCCCCGAGTTGCACACCAAGCGTCACTCCGGCGCTGGGCTGCGCAGCCGCACTTCGGCTCAGAATCGAGTCCTCGGCGGGCCAGCCGGGCTGGCAGGGGATGCTTCGCACGGGAACGTGCGCGCGCGGGAAGACACACCCTCCTGCGACGTAGCACTTTTTCTGCGACGTCGGTGCCCGGGGATCGCGACCCCTTCCCCAGGGCCGCCTGTTCACACTGGATTGTTCTTTAGGGTCCCCGGGCAAGGGAAATCGGCCCCCGGAGGCTGGAAGCAGGGCACAACCAGCCGTCGCGATTTCTTGGCGACGCCCAGATTTCAGGGCATGTGCGGCTTGAACGGTCGCTGCTCCAGCCGCATCGGGCCCGGTCCGTGACCCATCCGTCGCGCCCAGGCACACCGAGCGGCACTTGCAGCGAGGCTGGAGGAGGAGGCAGCGGTGAACAGGGCGCCATGGAGCAGAGAGCAAGAGAAGGAGCAGCCGCCAGAGCAGGTAGAAGGAGAGGGATCTGAAGAGCCAGCAGCCTCCCACCCCCGCCTGCACCAGCCCTGCCTTCCACTCCCTGCCCTCGTCCTGTTCTCACTCCACGTCATCTTCGGGCTCGACCTTCGTCGTGCTCTCCCAGGGGGCATCCCAAGAAGTCTCGGGTACTCCAGATTTCGTAATAAAGGGAGGGGGGTATCATTTCGGGGGGGGTCTCTTCCAGGCTATCTTGGAGGGCCTGGGGGGGTCTGGGGACGATGTTTTGGAGGGTTCTCCCACGGGGGAGGTCTGAAATGGCTTGTCTTGGAGGGTCCAGACCCCCTCCCTTTTATTACGAAATCTGGAGTGTCCATCCTCCCTGCTGCCCTATTTCTCCCCTTCTTCCTGGATTTTTAGTTTTGGCCCCAAGCGTCATCCTCCCCCTCCTTTCTCCACTTCCCTTCTGGTCCTCCGCGTCATCCTTCCCCTCATCGTTCCCCCTTACCTCCTCCTCCTCCGCGTCTTCGTCCTCCTCCTCTTCCTCTTCTCCTCCTGCTCCTCCTTCTCCTTCTCCTCCTCCTCCTCCTCCTCCTCCTCCTCCTCCTCCTCCCCTTAGCACTCCACCTCCTTTTCTGCTCCTCCCCCTGCGCCTCTCTCTCTTGCTAATGTGTTTGTCTTCGCCACTGCGCCGCAGTTACTGCAGGGAAGGCCCCCGGGCCCCGCAGCAATATTCTTCATTCTTCACAGGCTCCAGGCCCCGGTTCCCGGGCATTCCTGGGCGCCCCAAGGCTCGACTCTTCCGGGGGGATCCCCACATGCAGAGGTCTCGGGAGCCCGGCTGGGAAGCACCGCGCTTCCGACGTGGCGCCGAGAGCGGTCCTGGGGCTCGCTCGGGGGCCTCCTGGGCCGTCTCCGACGCCACGTGTGCCGGCCCAAGAGGCCAACATGTTTGAACGCCATGTTTTGAGCACGATTCCGCATGCTCGCAACTTCGGTCCTAAGAGCGTCCTAGCCTTAGGTCGGGCATGTCCCCCTACAGGCGGATTTCGGACGAAAACAAAAATATCAACACATGCTCTGAAATGGTCAAATATATATATATATATATATATATATAGTTTTAAAGAAAAGGCCCCATATCATGTTTGGACTAGTTTGGAACATTCCTTCTGTAGAGGGGCAGGCCCGACTTAATCCTAGCCGCCAGCGCGAACGCCATGGGGGGCCAAACCCAGAGGACCCCAGGAAGGCCCCAGGCGGGGGAACTCTAAGGGACCAAGGATGCCCCAAAGTGTCCTCCAAGAGGGCCCCTGATTTGAGGTCGGCCCTACAGGCGGATCTGGGAGGAAAAACTGGAAATACTCAAACAATCATCAACAAAAACGTCCCCGTATTTCATTCTTACTATTTTTGAATATTCCTCCTGTATACGGACGGGCCCGACTTAACCCTAGATGTCCTCAAGGTCCTCCAGCACACCCCCGAAGGCCTCGAACGGGCCTCCTGTCTTCGACCTGGGCTCAATGGCGGGATGGGGCACTCGATAGTAATTCGGCGGCGGGCCCCAGGGGGGTAGTGAGAGGGGGTCGGCCTTCTCAGGGGGGTGTCATAAGTGAGGACGGCAGAGAGGAGGGGGGGGAGGAGGCAGGAAGAGGGCTGGGGAGGCGGATGAGTGGAGGAGGTTGAATCCTTCCTGCTCCTCTTCTTTCTCCTCCTCCTTCGACGACGACGAGGACGACAACGACGACGACGACGAGAACGATGACGACGGCGACGACGACGACAGAACGACGACCACGACGACGACAACCACGAAGACGACGACGGCGACGAGAACGACGACCACGACCACGACGACAACAGTCACGACGACGACGAATTCATCTCCCTCAAGGCCCCACCCCCTTGGTGCGCGGCCATGGGCGGCTCGCCGCGGGCACCGGCAGGGCAGGCCAGCTCAGCGCAACTGGCCAAACCAAACTACATCAACATGCATAAACAGATACATGCATACACACATGTACAAAAGACTGCCCACATATATACATATATATATATTATAAAATGATCCAGGCCCGTCCCCCCCCACCATGCTGAAGGCATCGGGCTACCCCCCCACGATGGGTCCCTCCCTTCTCTGTGGGTGTGGTGTGGTGCTGTGGGTGTGGCGTGCGTGTGAAGGTACTTTGGTGCTCCAGGAGAGCTCCGGAGGTCGTCGTCGTCGCCGCCGCCGCACGCGTCGTCGTCAGAGGGATCCGGAGGTGCCGCCGCCGCCGTCGTCATCGTCGTCGTCGTCGTCGTCGTCGTTGTCGCCGTCGTCGTCGTCGTCGTCGTTGTCGACGCCGTCGTCGTCGTCCTCGCCGCCGCCGTCGTCGTCGTCGTCGCCATCGTCGTCGTCGTCGACGTCGTCGTCGTCGTTGTCGACGCCGTCGTCGTCGTCCTCGCCGCCGCCGTCGTCGTCGTCGTCGCCATCGTCGTCGTCGTCGACGATGTCGTTGCCGTCCTCCTCGCCGCCGCCGTCGTCGTCGTCGTCGTCGACGTCGTCGTTGCCGTCGTCGTCGGTGCCGTCGTCGTCGCCACCGTCGCCGCCGTCGCCGCCGTCGTCGTCGACGTCGTCGCTGTCGTCGTCGTCGTCGTCGTCGTCGTCGTCGTCGCCACCGTCGCCGCCGTCGCCGCCGCGTCGTGTCGTCGTCGTCGTCGTCGTCGTCGTTGTCGTCGTCGTCGTCGTCGTCGTCGTCGTCGTCGTTGTCGACGCCGTCGTTGTCGTCCTCGCCGCCGCCGTCGTCGTCGTCGTCGCCATCGTCGTCGTCGTCGTCGACGTCGTCGTTGCCGTCGTCCTTCCCGCCGCCGTCGTCGTCGTCGTCGTCGACGTCGGCGTTGCCATCATCGTCGGTGCCGTCGTCGTCGCCACCGTCGCCGCCGTCGCCGCCGTCGTCGTCGACGTCGTCGCTGTCGTCGTCGTCGTCGTCGTCGTCGTCGTCGCCACCGTCGCCGCCGTCGCCGCCGCCGTCGTCGTCGTCGTCGTCGTCGTCGTCGTCGTCGTCGTCGTCCCCCCCATCCCATCTGGGAGGGGGGGGGGGGCGTGGAGTCCTGGGACCCATCCCATCTTGGGGGGGGGGCCCGTGGGCCCTCGACCCGGGATCATATATACACGTATGCTTATACACCTATACCTATGCATGTACCTCACGTATACCTATACCAATACCTATACGAATACCTATCCCTGTACCTGTATCTCACATATACCTATACGTATACCTTACCTATACATGTTCCGATGCCTACACCTGCACCTACACCCAGACCTATACCTAGCCATAAACCTATGCATATACGTACATATATACACACATTTACATTTCCGAGACCCTGCCGGCTACACTGTCTACGCCAGCAGGACCTGGCGACAGTCCGCCCTTTGGCGTGGGTTGGTTGCAGCTCCTTCTTTCCCCCTCCCCATCTCTCCTCTCACTCCCCTCCGAGGTTTGCGGCGGGCGAGGCGGTCCAGGTAATTCGTCTCGACGACAGTCTGGCAGTCCGTGCACTCTCGGAGCCTGAGGGGGAGAGGGCGCGACATCGGCCACGACACGGCCACGACGACAAGGAAAACAACAACGACGACGTCGACAACGATGTCGACGACGACCAGAAACACCACGACGACGACCACTACGGCGTCACCGACGACAACGACGACGACGACGACCACCAGGCTGTCGACCACGACGACGAACACGAGCACGGCCGGGACCACAACGACGTTGAATCACGACCACGACCACCACCACGACGACAATCACGACCGCGACGTCGACTTCGACGTCGACCACGACCGCGACGCCCTCCTCGATGTCGACCACAACCGACAGTGACGCCGGCCACGACGACGAGGGCCACGACGACCACGACGACGCCGGCCACGGCAGCGAGCGACGACGCCGAATGCGTGCCGGTGGGCCGCGCGGCTGGCGGGCCGAGGCGCGAGTCGGCACCGAGCGCGCAGAGGACCCCGCGGGGCCTCCCGGGGGGCCCGCTCGCGCTCCGGAGCGCTCTTGCGCTGATGTCTTTGTGTGTTGAATGCTCCTTCCAGCTGCAGCTCGTCTGCGCCATCGCAGCGCAGAGTTCTCCAAGAAAACTGCGAACTGGGGCCGCACCATGGCCATGTGTAGCAGCAGGTGCTCAAATCGCGAGAGCAGGTCTGATCCTTCGCAGCTATATATAAACAGGACGTCCCGCTCTGCACGGGAAGCGGGGGAAGGCAAGCATGACGGCAACATCTGCAGTGTTATGCATATTTACATGTCCGCTTTTTGTCCATGTGTGTGTGTGCGCGTGTGTGTGTTGGTGTGTGCGTGTGTGCGTGTGCGTGTGTGCGTGTGCGTGCGAGCGTGCGTGCGCGCGTGCGTGCGTGTATGCGTGTACGTGTGCGTGTGTGTGTGTGTGAGCCAGAGTGTATGCCCCTTGCTGCCCTGAAACCCTCCTCATCGGCGGCGCCTGGGATCCAACTTGCGGTCCGTGGCTACGGAAGGGCTGCTGCGGTGCGAACTGGGCACAAAGGCCGCAAGGACGGCCAGGAGGAAGACGGGGCCGCGGACGGCCAGAGCGCCCTCAGAACGTGAAGCACTTCGGGATGCGCCAGAGTCATCCTCGGTTCTTTGTGCTGTTGGTGCGTCTGCGGAGGCTTTGCGCATCGGGATTAGGAAAAAAAGTTCATGAAAAAGTCAGAGGCATCAAGCATACAAATTACCCCATATGGTTGCCATCGCCGCATCTCGGTGCCGATCGCGAGGATTCCCTCAGTCTCTGAGGGCGCATCCCTAAGATTGCCATCGCCTCGGTCTTATGTTAGCCCCCGCTGCTCAGTGTCCGACTGCAGCAGCCCTGAATCCTTCCAAAAACGGGCATCTCGTTCGTCCGGATCGTTGTGCTGACGGCCCCGAAACCCGACACCCTTCCCAAGAGGTGGAAAATTGAGGCAAACCGGCCGCTTCAGATTTTTTCCATGCGATGCGGACGATCGACGAACTCGAAAAATCCTGGGCCCTCGAACGAAACGTGGTCATCGAACGATCCTCGAACGACCCGCGGCCCTGGACACCCTCGAATCTCGATTCTCGATCGGTCGGCGACGACGGCGGCGGCGAGAAGTCGGCAACGGTTGGCGATGCGCACGGGGCGGTAACGCGAGGGCGGTGGCCAACTTAGGCTGCGCGGGGGGTTATACGAATGCACGGGGGCTCTCAGACGCCCCCCTGGCTCATGAGAAGCCCAGCTGCAAGTCTGCGGGCCCTTCCACGAAAGCACCGTGCCTTCCACCCAGGCCCCCGACGTCACGATTTCTTCGCAACGTGGTCCGCTTGAGGTCTCGACCCGCACCCGCGGGCCAATTTTTCGTCCTGAGTCGATTGTGTCGGCGGTCCCGTGGCCCAGCAAGGGCACCCAGAGATCGAAGACTGCCAGAAAACTCTCCGTCGTGTTTTCTTCATGGTCAGAAGGTTGGCGGCGCGCAGAGAGGGGTGGGGTGAAGGCGAATGCGTTCTTAGAAGCAGCCCTGCTTCTTAGAAGGCGCGGGCCTTGGGGCGCACCCGAACCAACTATACCTGGGGTAGTGCGGTGACACCGCGTATCTGGCAATATTCAAACGGTCACCAAGCAACAGTTGCTAGGCGCGCGTTGGTCTTCAGATCCCAATGCCCAGGCGCGGGCCGTGATGGAGGGAAGAAGTGGGGCGTGCACGGGTGATATATGCGAGGTGCCACTCAATTTTCTGATCGGAGACCGCCTGAAGCACATAAACAACTCCACGTGATTGCATCGCGCATGAAATTGCTCAGCCAAGGTGTTTACTTCATTTGTCATGGCCACCAAAAGCAAACTCTTTGGGATTGTTGCCATACCGAGTTGTTCTTCTAATTATGGAGGAATTGATTCTCAAGCAATACATGCGGTAGGCCTGAATTCCACGAGCGCCTGTACCCCCTTGAATTCCCGAAGCCCGTGTACCCCCTTGAACTCCGGATGCCCCTGTTGACATCCTGCGGACCCCCAGGCAACCGAAAAACAACGTGACCTGAGCGTCGCCATCGTTGCCGTTCCCGCATGGTTCCAGCGGGGACGGGCTGGCAAAAATACGTTGACTGGCCCCCCCCGCTCGGTGCCCAACAAGGCCTCCGATTTTTTTTCGGCCCCATTTTTGAACGCGGTTGGCGGACATCCACGGTGACCGCAAGCTGGGCTGGCAAAAATATGCTTGCCGGCCCCGCGCTCCGGGCACCAGCGGAACGCTACATGCACCGACGCCGGCGAACCCAGTGCCGAACACGACCCAACGGCGCGGCGAACGGCATGCCAACTCGACGATGCTTTGGAAAGTGATCCGACGCCATCTGCCCCGGTATGCGCACCCCTGCCCCCTGCCATCGTCCTTCCGATCGCCCTGGTCGCTGGCCACCCCCCTCCCCCAAGAGCCTCGCAGACCTAATTACGGCGCGCTCGACCAATGCACGATCAGTCGACGCGCGGCTACGAAAGAACACGCGGGGCAAAAAGAACCCTCCCCCCCTTCTCCTGCCATTCCCCTTCCCTTCCTACTCCTGCTGCTTCGCGCAGCCCGCCCCTCTCTCCAACAGCTCCTCCCTCACTTCTCCAGTCTTTTTTCCTTTGAGCCAGCGCAATATGGAACAATGCCTCTTCGCGCCAGCTTGGCGATGTCACCGCGGTCCTTCATACGGAAACAATGCGGTGCCCATCCTGTGGTTCCTTATATGATATCTCTCACAGCATGGTAGCGCCACCTTTAGCTGGGTCGGGCACGACAAAACGAAGGCCTTGTCTCTAAATGCAAGCCCCGCAGCTTCGAAGAAGCAGCCTCCTTCTAACAAGCCTTCCCCCCCCCCCTGCACCCCTCTGCGCGCCGCCAAGAGGGGGTCTTGGAATGATGGCGTGATGCGATTGGTGCACGATTCGATCCACAAATGCCCAGGTGCGCCGGCCCTCGCCCGTGGAGCCCGTGCGGAGCAGCAAGAGCCCCTAGAGCAGTTTGTAGAGCGCACCGCTCTGCCCAGACATCCGACGATGCTATTCTTTTCGTGCGCAGCCCAAGAGGTCCCGACCCCCATTCCCTGGGAGTAGTTGTTCGTCCCGGGTCGATATTTGATGGCCCTCGCGCCCCATGATGGGACCCACAGGCCGTGATCTAGGACAATCGCTAGGATTGAAAACATCCCAGCGTCGAATTCCGTCGGGCACCTGGGGTCATGACCTCCTGCTCCTCGGACTCTCAGAAGCCAGCCGCCTTCTTACAAGGCGCTGAAAACCATCGCGAAAGCCCTCTTGTGCGCGCTGCCAGTTGGAGATCTCAGTCCCGTGCGGTGACAGACAGTGCAGTTACCTCGAAACCCCCCAAAACCTCAACGCACGGTCCACCTTGGTACGGCTTTGGGACCCGAATCGAGCGAGACATCCTCGGATAAGGACCTGAAAGCAAGACCCCCGACCACGTGATCTTTTCGTAACGTTAGCTCCCGGAAAAATCCCGACCCATTTGCCAGGACCAGAAATTCATCCCGAGCCGTTTTTCACAGCTCCGGGGCCCTGCGAGGGCCCCGGGGGGCCTAAACTGACAAAAGACTGCCATGGTACGTTTTGTTAGCCCCCGAACCCCAACCGACTCACCACACGGCGTGGCCACCGCACCGTCTGTCGCGGGCGCGCAAACATGGATTAGCGATACATGGACTTGGCGCGCCCCAAGAGTGCGGCCGGTGCCGCCTCGTTCGGCGGCGGAAATCCGCGAAGTCCCATGGAAGCGGGACCAGTCGCTAATCCACACCCCCTTGATCCATGTCTGCGATGGCCCGACGAACCCCCACCGACTCAAAAAACGGCGTGGCCACAGCACCGTCCGGGGTCTCCTCCTCCTCCTCCTCCTCCTCCTCCTCCTCCTGCTCCTCCTCCTCCACTGAGGGCCCCCGAGCCAGGGCGGCGGCGAGACGTCGGCAGCCGGGCGGGCGCCTCGACTCCCCCTTCGGCCGCCTCTCGGACGACCTGCGCGGGCCCGTGGGGAAGGCGGCGCTCCGGGGCGGCCGGGCAGCCCCAAGAGGTAATCTTAGCTCGGGCGTGGCCCCCTCGGCAGCCCTGGCAGTGCCGTCGCCGGTCGTGGGTCGTCGTCGGGGGGGCGAGATAAAGTTCAAGCTTACCGGGTGTGGATCGAAACCAGCAGCGACGCGAATTACCTTGAGAGAGATTCCGGGCAGGCCTACGGTGAAGACAACTGTTCCCCCCAGCGTTGTGGAACGCTGTCGGAATTTCCGGGAGCGCTCTGAAAAGGCCGCGGCGCCCGGCACCTCCGCACGACCAACCGGATCTCGGACAACTGGCCTTCGTCTTGAGCTAACGGGCGCCGAAGAGGGCCTTGGGCAGTAAGATTGTGCGGGTACCATGGCGGCTCGGGCCCTGACATCCGCACAATGCTATTATCCGAATGCCATGGACGTCGCGCTGGGGCTACGAGGTTGTGAGGAGTGGCGCCTCGTTGTGCGATGGGGCACGCGCGCGCGGGCGGGGGCCTCGCACCCAGGGGCAACTCCGCCGCATCGGCGGGGGGTCTCGCTCAACGACTGGTGGGGGGTCTCACTCTGCGACCTGGGGTAGCGCCTCTGTGGATTGTACGGGCGTGGCTGTTTGGATACAGAGAGACACCAGGTACAAATAGGGGGACCCGTGCTAAAAGAGAGCACGTTCTCCTTCCTTTTGCGGAAGCGTGGGCGCGTCCGTCACCGGCGCGCCACGATAGCTCAAGGGCCCCTGTGAGCCGACATGGCGGCGCACAAGCGAGTACAGAGGGAGGCGCAGGAGGAGGAGCGGCTGACAGGGGCTCTGCAACCACAGCCTCGCTGCGAGACTGGGCGCGCGTGTGCGGGCGGGGTCTCGCGCGGGCGAGGGCCTCGAAGGAGCCTGGACTGGGGAGCCCATGACGAGTAATCTCAACCGGCGGCGCCGTGACAAGGAGTCGCACTTGCGGGGCCCATGAAGCAGAGTTCCAAAGGGAACGGAAACAAGTCCGAGCTGTATGAGGCCGCCCGCGACAAAACATCCCAAGTGAAGGGCCAAGGACTCCCAATTGGAGGAGGCGTCAGAAAGAAACTCAATGAGAAAGCCCATGCTACATGAAATAAAGAATCCCAGCTGTGGGGCCCTGAAACGGAATCCCACATTGGGGCTGCATGAACGGGAATCCATTTTGGTAGGGCCGCTTGGGGGGGGGTCGTCAGGAAGGTGCTTGAGCCCAAAGTCACGATTCTACCCCCCCCCGCTCAGAAGCCCGCCAAGACTGTTTGGAAGCGGGCAGGCATATCCCCGCTCGACCCTTCGTTCGTCTAGGACCCCGTTTCACGCCCCGGCCAAAGGTCGCATGCGCATGAAGATAGTCGGGTGAGGCGATCGCTCCGAATGGTGGGGACGACAGAGACATGAACAGGAGAACGACGAGTACAAGGATGACACGGAGAAGCAGGAAGGAGGCGACGGACATCGTGTCCACTGCCTGTATGCAATGGGTTTGGGGTGTTCTTGGCGGTCCTCGCAGACTCATGGGGGACTGTAAGTGTTACTGTCAGTGTTCGTGATCTGTTCGAGGGCGGAAGTTGGATTACGTGATGAGATAGAGAATGGGAGCAATGAGGAAGAGGTAGGAGGAGGAAGATGGAGGAGGAGCAGGAGGCAGGCTGGGACAAAGATCATCTGCAGGAGCAGAAGGGATGATCAGTACGAGCAGGAGCCAGAGCAGCTGGCTCGACCGAGCCAGTCGACCCCCGCGATCTCCCACCCGCATCTGCGAACAGAAGAGCCAGCGCTGGCGCGAATGGGCCGTGGGCCTGACTCCGATGGCATGGCGAGTGACACCATGGTCCGCACATGGAGCTCTCAGAGAACGCGCGGTGCCGACGCAGCGGCACCTCTGAGACCTTTCGCTCGGAGACACGTCTCCGACAGGAGCAGCGAGGGCAAACCACGCGCCGCGCCCATGCGGGGGCCCATGTCTTAAGCGAGACATGCGGCAGCGAGAGCGGCAATTCGCTTTCTCGCGCGCGGCCACGCGCAACTACGACAACAGAGTGAGCGAGAAATGCGCACCGCGCATGGGCTGGAGCGCTGCCAGCAAGCGAACTCTGCGCGGGCGAGACCGACAGTTCGCCCGCTAGTGCACGGTACCGCGTCCGACGAATTGGCGATCAAGAGCGTGCGCCGCGCTCAAGCGCAAGCTCAATTTAACAGCCAAGTGTGCGCGGCCCTGAGGCGAGAGAGACCTTTCGACATTTTCCTCGCGATGTGCGCAGCGTCCTACTCCAGTCACGCATTTTGAAACGCCCATGCTGAAAGGAAGAACGTACATGTTGCGTTCCGTTGCTCTCAGAACACAGGTACGTACCACGGAATCTCCCAGAGTGATAGGCTATCGGCCTGGTAGGTGGCAGCGTGAGAGCACACATGAGGATAGGAACTGGAAGGTGACTGCGGTAGTGGGCAGGAATGGGAACGAGAGCGCAAGAGGTGGGAGGAAGAGGACGGCGAATCAGTAGAAGGACGAGGGCGGAGGAGTAGTAGGAGAGGATGGCGAATCAGTAGGAGGACGAGGGCGGAGAAGTAGCAGGAGAGGGGGGGACGAGCGAGAGCAAGGACAGCGGGAAGGGGAGAAAACGACGGAGGATGGAGAGAGGGCAACGGGGAAGGTGGGGTTGACTTCGTTCGGGAACCCCCGAGCGAAGTGAACCCTACCTCCCCCCTCAAGAATCGTTGGGTGGTGGGGTAGGGCTCGCATGTGGCCTCCTAATGCGACGCGGCTCATGCCAACCTGTCGTTGGCCGCCGCCTGCCACGGCGCCCTCGCTTTGCTTCCGCCGGCCGCCTCCGTCGCCCTTCCGCCGCCTTCCGCCAGGAAGCACCTACCAACTTCTCCACTCCTCGAGAAACAAATCTCAGCCCATGCCCCCCTCGTCCTCTCCTCGTCTCCCGCGCGGCGTGGGCCGACCTGCCGTGGCAGCGCTCGTACCGCGCTTGCGGGGTGCGCCGGTGCTGGCGTCGCCTTATTTTCTCAACAGCGTCGACGCCCGAAGGTTTCGACCCGTTCCCTCGAACATGATAACAAGACCACCCACCCTGGTTCGTTTCGTTTTCAGCCATGGGTTTCGATTTTAGCCGCACGTCTAGTCGAACCACCCCTCTACCATGATTCCGACCGCGGGGCCACCTGGGGGGGGGGCAGGGCGCATCGGGCCACGCGGGGCGAATCGCAATGACCGACGCGGCCACTCAAATCGATGGGGCCGCTCGCGGCCCCATCGAGCTCTCCTGGTGGCAACCTCAAGGGATGCGGGGAGCTTGTTCGGGACGAGAAGCTTGTTCGAGCGAGCTCCTCGTCCCGAACAGGGGCGCGCCGGTGCTGGCGTCGCCATTTTTCAACAACGTCGAACCCCCGGAGGTCTCGACCCGTTCCCTCGAAGAAGCTTCTCGTCCCGAAGCGTCCCGTGTTTTGACGGCCCCACGGCCCGGCGAGGGCCCCATGAGGCCGACAATGGCCAAACAGCCTCCCGTCATGGCTTGTCCCCGTTGCCCCCCTCGTTGAGGGGCAACGACAGGGGGGCACAGGGGGGGATGCATCGGCCTGGAATCGGAGGTACATCGCCGATAGATCGGCGATAGGCCTCCGATAGTGAATCCGCACCTTCCTGGGCAGGTTGGGGCTATCGGGCCCCCATCGGCGATCGGTGGGCGATTGGGGGTCGATGCATCCGCCCCTGTGCCTATCCCCCCCTATCGTTGCCCCTGACCTCGTCCTCTCGAGCAGGGACCAGCCGTCCTGGCATTCATACAGGAGAGACGAATGTTCGAAGACAAAACGCAACTGGAACATGCGACCGATGTATTAAGACAAAGCGGTGTCAGCCAGACATGTTCTAAGACCATGTCGCGCTAACCACAATACCTCAGAGTCACTTAGAACTTTTTCAGGTGGGCCTACCAGCAGGTCGGGACGCTTCGCCACTGCTTTCGGCGCCGAGGATCAACTTAGCGGGCGAAGAACGATATCGGATAAACTGTTCCGTCGCCGGGGGCGCCGGTCCCAGGGCAGCTGGACAGTTTTTTTGCCTGACGTGCCACCGCAGGGGGTATAAACTTCCAAGCAGCCCTGGAACCCAAGTTCCCGATGGCGAGAAAGTTCATTTTACACCGTCGTTCGCCCGCTAACTGGTCCCCGCGGCGGCGTGGGCCACCCTGTGGTGGCAGCAATACGCCAGCACCGCGTTCGAGGGGGGGGGCTGGCGCCGACGCCGGCCCCCCCCCTCGAGGAGGAGGAGGAGGAGGAGGAGGAGGAGGAGGAGGAGGATCGAGGAGGGTCGAGGAGGAGGAGGAGGAGGAGGATCGAGGAGGATCGAGGAGGATCGAGGAGGAGGAGGAGGAGGAGGAGTAGGGATAGGAGGAGGAGGAGGTCCCTCCTCCTCCTCTCCCGCGCGGCGTGGGCCCACCTGTGGTGGCAACAGTACGCTGGCGCCGCGCTCGCGGGGTGCGCTGGTGTCAGCGGCGCTTCGCCCCGCAGGGCCTCGGGCTGCTCCTGCCGAGAGCTCGGCCGCCGCCGCCGTCATCGGTCTCGGGGCTCAAAGTGATGAATCGATTCCCCACCAACACTAACTACCAAAAGTGCGACGGGGGAGGATTGAGGATGGGAGGTCCTTCTCCTCCTCCTCCTCCTCCTCCTCCTCCTCCTCCTCCTCCCTATGGTAGTGGTGGTGGAAAATCAGCCCATCACAAAGGCAGGTCGACACAGCAGAACAATCGCAGCAGAAAACAGCTAGCTTGTCGCAGTAGCCGTCGCGCCAGTCGCCGTCGATCTTGGCCGTCGTCGTCACCGTCAGTCGGTCGGTCGTCGTCATCGCCGTCGGCTGGTCGCCGTCGTCGTCGTCGTCGGTCGCGGGACTGGGATTTCGTTGTCGCCGTCGCAGTGACGTCAATCGTCGTCGTCGCCTTCGCCATCGCCGTCAGTCTTAGTCGTTGTCGTCATCGTCGCCCTCAGTCTTCGCCGTCGCAGTCAAACTTGCGTCGTCGTCGTCGCCGTCGCCGTCAGTCCTGTCGGCAGCTCGGTCGTCGCCGCCGTCGCCGTCAGCCTTGAGACTGGGGTCTCTGGTGATTGCTTTGGACGCAGGAGGGACGCACTGCAACCCTCGACAAAACTCACTTTCGGCACGACTCGAACGCTTCACGATGACTGGCATTGAAACGTGGGCGCCAACAAGTGCTTCGTAATGAACGCGCTGTGAAGTTGAGTTCGGCGAGGGTACTAATACAATGCACCCCCCTGAAGACACACGTCCGAACCGATCATACGGTACAGGCATGTGGTGCCGAGTTGTACATAGATACATAATGATTGAAAACTATATGTTAGCCAGTGTGGACCCAAAGTCGTATTCCTAGCAGTCTATGTGGTGCAATCAATGTGGTGCAAACTACGTTGTGCATTCTACGTGACGTAACCTATGTTGTGCAAACGCTAAGGTGCAATAGATGCTGTGATTTCTATATTCTGCAATTTAGGTGGCGCTGTCTAGGTGTTGCAATCTAGGTGTTTCAACCTCTGCTGTACACCCTGTGTGGTGCAAACTATGTGGTGAAGTCGATGTGGTGCAATATTATGTATTGTGCACTCTATGTAGTGCCATCTATGTCGTGTAATCCATGTGGTGCACTCGACGCAGAATAATATATGTTGTGCTAGCTATGTAAAGCAATCTATGTGGTGTAACCTATGCGGTGCAATGTTTTTGGTGCTACCGATGCGGTGCAATCTACATTGTGCAATTAATCTTGACCGTCTTGAAGCTGTGCTCTCCACTGCTCGTGCAAACATCCCACCCTCCCACCCGCAACTTGGTCGCTAGACCTCTTCAGACAAGACCGTGACGGTAGGTACCACATGGCACTTGGCCACGACACCGATGCCGACGACGACAGCGACATCGACGACGACGGCGCCGCCGACAGCGACTGCGACGACACCGACGACGTCTCCAATGTTTTCGACGGCGACAACGACGACGACGACACCGACGACGACGACAACGACGCCGACGACGACGACGAAGACGACGACGACGTCGCCAACGGAGACGACGACGAGGGAGGAGAAAAAACGACGACGGCGACAACGACGACAACGACGATGGAGGAGGGAAGACGGCGACGACGCCAACGACGAAGAAGGAGGAAGGACGGCGACGCCGACGACGACAACGACGAGGGAGGAGGGAAGACGACGACGATGACAACGACGACGAAGACGACGACGACGGCGACGAAATGAAAGGACGACGACGAGACGCCGACGACGGACGACGACGACGAGGGAGGAGGATAACGACGAGGGAGGAGTGAAGACCACGACGACGACGACGACGACGACGACGACGACGACGACGAAATAGGAGGGACAACGACGAGACGCCGACGAAGACAACGAGGGAGGAAGGACGACCACGGCGACAACGACGACGGAAACGACGACGACGCCAAGACGACGACAACGACGACGAGGAAAGACAGAAGACGACGACGGCGACGACGACGACGACGACGACGAGGGAGGAGGGAGGACGACGACGACGACGACGACGCAAGAGCGCGCGCGCACGCTTTTGTTGAAAATCCGTGTTGCGAAACCTTGGGTTCTTGTATGTTTTTTGGACGCACACGATTTCGAAATTCTTCCGAAACCGAAGGTTTTTGAAGGATTTCGGCATACGCCCGCGACGACGCGCGCGTCTGCACTTCGTCGCATTTTTTGCAGAGGATTCTCGCGACGGCACACGCGCAAGGGCGTTCGACAGATTTCGACATGCGCGCGCGCGAAGCCCGTTTGGTAGCATTTGGTGAAAATCTTGGAAAACCTATGGTTTTCTTAAGATTTCGCAAGACCTCACGCGGAAGTTTTTTTAGCAAATCAGTGTTGCGAAACCATGTGTTTTTGTACGTTTTTCGGAAACTCGATTGCGAAATCCTTCCGGCACCGAAAGTTTTTGAAGGATTTCGGCATGCGCGCGCGACGACGCGCGCGTGTGCACTTCGTCCTATTTTTTGCAAGGGATTCGTGAAAAAGTGATATGTTAGAACAAAAAATGTCACCGCATAGTGTTTTTTTTTTACAAAGGAACCGCAGGGGGGGGATACCGGCTTGGCTGGGATAGTATGAATTCATATTTAGGATGGACATGTGGTCGGAATCATATGTAATTTACAGCACGCGCGGGGGGGCCGATAAGTCCGGGGGGGGGGGGGGTAGAATCTATTAGTCTTTCAGAAAGGAGAATCTAGGGTGGCGACGAGGCGGCGACGGGGCGGCGACTGCGGCCACATAGCCGCCAGACCCACCCTCCACGGGGGGAAGTGGCGCAACATTCTTTTTTGGTTGGGGGCGAGGCTCCAGCACCCTCTCTGCACAGGCGTCGGCACTGCGCGGCGACTTGTGAGCCGCGCGTGGGCCCAGCCTGGGCAGGTGCTGCGGCTCGGGGCTCAGCACTGGCACGAAGAGAGCCGCCTGCGGGGAATGAGACCCTGGCTGGCGCACATCACGGGAAGTCCGGCTCAGCACTGGCACGTCGAACAGCCGCCTGCGGGAAGCGAACCCTGACTGGCGGATGTCTCGGAGGCTCCCCTACTCGGTGCCTCATCCTCCGAATAGGACGCTGGACTGCTCCACTGCGAGCGCTATTGTCGAGTGAAGGGGCACAGACTTCTTCAAAATGGGGCGGGTGCCCTCTCGGTACCCGACCCTCTCACAACCAATCGGTCCCAATGCCTCCAGCAGAGCGACCCCCTGTCTTGGATCGTCTGCTCTTAGAGCCGCAAAAAATACAGGCATCCAAATCAAAACTCTCGGATGCCCGCGCGGACTTCTGTGCTTTTGCTCCGTCCCTTGCCCCGCGGGCCCTCAGCGCGAATGGCCTCAGTCCTGGATGCCGCACTTCAGGTTGGCGGGCAGCGAGGCGTCAATCTTCTTGGGGTACGGCAGGCCGAGCTCCGCCATGAGCTTGCAGAACTCCGGCGCCGGGAGCGTCAAGCGCGGGTTCCCCGCCTTCTCCTCCGCCACCGTGGACACCGTCCGGCCCTTGTAGTCGTGCGCGGGGTAGATCTTGGCCGCACCGTCCAGGGTGAAGATCTGCGTATGCACGCTGTTGTACAGCACCGAACAGTCGCCCTGCTGAAAATCGGTGCGCCCGCAGCCGCCCACGAGCAGCGCGTCTCCCGTGAACGCCTTCGTCCCGTTAAGGACGTACGTCACGCAGCCGTTCGTGTGCCCCGGCGTCGCGCGGACCTCCAGCGCGTGGCTGCCGAAGGTGAAGACCTCGCCAGGCTTGCAGAGCACGTCTGCCTTGGCGCCCGCCGCCTCGGCGATGACGCTCTGGACACCGGGCAGCAGCGCCTTCAGGGCACCCGTGCCCGTGATGTGGTCGGCATGGCAATGCGTGTTGAGGGCGAGCTTGAGCGTGAGGCCCAGCCGCCGGACGTGCGACGCGTCCCTTTCTGCGTGCTCCAGCACCGGGTCGATGATCACCGCCTCCATCGTGGCGCGGTCGGCGAGCAGGTACGTGTACGTGGAGCTCTCGAACTCCCGGTCGAACAGCTGCAGAAACAAGGGCGCGCCAGCCGCGGCGGGCAGGGAGCTCTGCAGCCACGCCCGGAACGCGCCCGCGTGTGGCACAGTGCAGCACCTCATCCCTTGCGCCTCCGCCTCCGCCCACGCCTCGTCGCCGCTCTGGCCCCGCACCGCGCCGAGGTAGAGCGCGACCGCGGCGCTGGCCCGCGCTCCGCTGGCGCACTGCACCGTGGTCGGGCGAGGCAGCGCCGCGAGGGCGCCTACGATGGCGTCGGCGTCGTCCTGGGTGAGCTTGTTCGCGATTAGCGGCACGGCGAGGTACGGCACGTCCGCGGCGAGCGCCTCCTTGGCCGGGCCAACTGCGTCGCTGTCCCCGACGAAGAGGTACCCCTTGCTGCCGTCTGCCCCGGGGCCCAGCGCCCCCGCGCCGCACGTCACGAAGTCCGACAGGGCGGGCGCCGCCAACGCCGCCATGATGTCGAGATGGAGGATCCGAAAGGGCGGGAGGACACTGCCCGCTAAATGGTTTCGGCAAACTGGCCTTGAGCCAAAGGGGCTACGGAGTCGCCAGACCGACAAACAAGCCCAGACGACCAGCGGCGACGAGGCTGCGACGGTGCGGCGACGGCGGCAACATAGCCACCAGATCCAAGCCAGGCCCACACGACGGGCGGCGACGAGGCGGCGACAGGGCGGCGACGGCGGCCACATAGCCGCCAGACCGAAGTCACGGCGCAGTTCCGTGGAACTGAAGGAAGAGCCCCTGGGTGCTAAACACGGTTTGAGGAAGATGGAACATCAACAGCATTCGCGCTTCGCGCTCTGCACCTTGGTCCTTCAAGTTTCGTACGGATGGGATGAGAGCGAAAGAGCAAGAGAGAAAGAGAGATACAGAGAAAACAACAAAAACAAGAAAGGACGATCTAATGCGTCTTGTCTCCGTGTTCGCGCTGTCGTTATTTCCC